TTTTTTTTTTTTTTTTTGTTATCAGGGATTGAACTCAGGTCCTTGGACTTGCAAGGCAAGTGGTGGAACCACTGAGCTAAATCCCCAGCCCAAGTTTATCCCTTCCTAATGAAGTCATGACTGAGAAAAACATTACCAAATGTTTTTTCCCCACTACCTGTGTAATGGGGATTGAACCCAGGGCCTTCACACTGATCTACTTCCAGCTCTCTATTTTTTGAAACAGGGTCTCACCAAGTTGCCCAAGATGGTCTTGAACTTGTGATCCCTCCTCCCACCTCCCAGAGTGCTAGGATTACAGACACGCACCAACTCCCCCAGCTACCACATGGTTCTTAATACAGAATATACTTTGCACTGATATTTTTAGTGTTGCTAAAATCAGAATATCTGCTATCTTCCTAGACTTTGGCAGAATTAGAAAATAAGGAAACACGGTTACCTTATCAAGTAGTAATGTTGATATGGAATACTGAGTTTCATATATCAAACAGCAATACTGATTTTCTACATAGACGCTTGGAGGGTAGAATCCCAATCAGGTTGCTGAGCAGCAGGGCCCTGGTCTTGCAGCAGCTTCTGCAAGGCAGGTGCCTTGTTTCTCCTCAGCTTATATGAGTTAAAGGGTTAGCTTTGAGGAGCTGATGGAGGAGGCCACTCCTTCATGTCTTTCTTGGCATAAATATTGCTCCAAAATCATTTAGTGTAAATAAGGAAGTGGTAGAATGAACTGCAGAAGGGCAGAGGAACCCGGTCCTCAGGGAAATACCTGAAAGCTGGGAGAATGTAAAGGGTGCAGGCCTCCAAACCCTTCCCCAACACCTCCTACATCACCACGTCCGCTGAATTCTTGCCAGCAATGCCTCTTGTCTTAGTTACTTTCTCATTGCACATGATACCCACAAGTTAAAGGAGGAAAGGTTTATTTTGTAGAAGTTTCAGTCCATGGCTGCATGGCCCCAAGGCAGGATACCTGGCATAGGGGTCACAGAGGAGAAACGGTCCATGGCAGGGCAGGCAGAGGCAGTAGAAACAAGCAGAAAGCTTCTCTTTCCCTTTTATCCCCCCAGGCTACAAGCCTTTCATACGGGCTTCCTTAACCACACTCAGAACTATGCTAAACCAATTTAGTTATTACACACCCTTAATCCCATATCACACACTCTAACCCCAGCATCACACACCCATGACCCACTGACCTCTCAAAAGACCCACCTATGAGCACATGAGGCTTTGAGGAGATATTCAAATATGAGCCATAACACCTCTGAAGGGAGAGTTGAGCATTTCTGGTCCAGTTAAAAAGTATAGGTGGACTAAGCCACCTGCATGGTGATCTAAGAAACCCTTCAAAGTTGCTTCTCTACAGAATTAAATCTTTCTCCTCATTTTTATGTGTCCTACTCTTCCACCTGATTGGTCAATTTGTCCTATTCTACTGACTTTTTAAGAAAGTACATGGTTTAAATTATATCTGGATGACCCCAAACCCTCATGAGCCTGTAGGTGAGTTTTTGAAAGGTAACTGGAAGATGGGGTGGTACGGCTGTCTCACTCCCAGGAGGTGGGGCTTGGTAAGAAGAAGGGGTCACTGGGAGCATTTCCCTTCCTTCCTGGCTCCTCCCTTTACTTCCTCCTTCCTGGTGGCCATGACTTGGGCAGCTCTTCCTCCGCTGTGCCCCTCTGCCAGTCCCCCCTGCCATGGAGCCAGCCAACTATGGCTGAAACTCTGAGCCTAGATAAACCTCTCCTCCTGTAAGTGTGAGTGTTGGTATTGTGTCCCAGCAGTGAGAAAGGGATTTAGAAGTACAAACTTTTTGAGGATTTAAAATTTCTGCCAAGATTCACTGTCACTACTGTCTTAAATATTTTAATCACATACTACTGTTTGATTCTTAGGTTCTCTCTACATTTTCTCACCAAAGTCCTAATTTTATCACTATAAATATATCTAAGCATGTATGTAAACTTGACTTTAATTCTCTCATAGGGATAAGATAAAATACAACTGCAAAAGATATGCAAAAACTCATTTATAAAGAATAGACCCAACACATCTGGTTTTTATACTATTTTAAATTGGTGGATCATTTCTTTATACCATTGGTAGAACTAGGCAGCTTCCTGAAGGAATGTGAAATCAGATCTGTAGTCTACCCCTTACACTTGGTTAAATTATCTTACATAAAAGACTTAAATGTTAAGAAGAAAGAACCTAAGGGAAAAAGATCATGACAATTTTTAAAAATATAATCATGAAATGCAGAAAGCCTTTCCAAATGTGGTATACAATTCAGAAAAGAAAGAAGGGAAAGGTTGAGAAATGCATTTGTAAAAGCTCTGAGATTTTAAAAACCATTTGGGTTTGGATGTGTGAATGAGGATCAGCAAGCGCCTCGTGTGTTCTGTGTGTGTGAATGGCGAGGGGCTCTCCAGTCACCCCAAGTCCACCCCTGTTAGAAAGCTTGCTCGCCTCTCCCCCAACCTCATTTGTACCAGAAGCTGCAGAGAAGGGAGAGCAGAAAATGGCCTCGGGGACACCGTGAGGAGCAGTGGGACGGCTGGGCACAGCACCCTGCCTTGAGAATCTTGGGGAGCAGCAGCCCCACCTGCAGCCCCAACCACTTCAGCTCCCAGGAGCCCGCGGCTAAGATCTGCATACACTAAGGCTCCGATCCTCAGCCAGGGATGTTTGAGAAGAGGAAGGAAAGAGTGTGAACTTAGGAGGCGCTCTAGGGAAGGCGTTTCACTTGGTGTCAGAAATCACGGTGACTGGGACTTACCCACGGGCCGCGCTTGCCGTTCAGAACAAGGTGAATTCACTGTCCCAGGCTTCGGGGGTCCTGGGGAGACACTAGACACAGAAGCGGTGACTCTCACGTGTAGGAGGCCAGCAGTGGCTGTCCCTGCTGGAAAGATGCACCTGTTAGGACCAGCGGCGCCTTGGCCCTGAGTGGGGCGCCCGAGGGGAGAGGGGGCGGGCTCCGCGCCCCACCCGCTGCTCCTAGAGTTCAGGCCCACAGGGGCTGTGACTGTGATTCGACCAGAGATCCGAACAAGCTGAAGAAAACCGGAGCATAAAAGCCGATGATGGAGGGGTTTGGAGGAGTCCAGATTAACCAAGAAAAAAGTGATTTCTTCGCTTCCCGCCTGCCCCTGCCACCGAGGGTTGAGCGCATGGCAGAACAAGTCGCCTGCTGTCTCTGGGCAGGAAGGTAAATCACGCGGCAAGGGTGGCAAAAGCTAAGCTGCAAGCAGGTCCACTCTGCTCTGCTCCATGCCTGCTCCGGGGGGCTCAAAGGGACAGAAAGGCTCAAACAGGCTCCCTGCCTGTCCCGAGCTGCCTCGCTGTTCGCCTGGTCGGCACCCACTTTCCAGAAGGAAAAGAACTCAGGCCAACTGGAGAGGGAGCGGAGTCCCCCGCTGAAAGCTTTCTCTGGTAGCTCAGCGGGTAGAGCTCCAGCAAGTGTGAGGCTGGAGGCCAAGGAGGCGGAGCGTTTGTGAATCTAACTGTTTTCTAGATTCCTTTCCTAGTTTGCTACTGCTGTAGAGAAAAGCTACTGACCGTATGTGTGGTGCTGGGGATTGAACCCAGGGCCTTCGCACTGAGCTATATCCCCAAGCCCTTTTACTTTGAGACGAGGTCTCCCTGAGTTGCTAAGTTGTTGTTCTGGTTTCTATCCACATGTCCCACAAAGCCTCCTACGCTCATAGGTGGGGCTTTGGGGAGGCGATCGGCTCATGGGGCTGACACTCACAGTGGATCAGTGCACTGATAGGTTTATAGCTATGTGACGTTGGGAGCTGGAGCCTGGTTGGAGGAGGCGGTCACTGGGGCGTGGCCTGGAAGGGTCCATCTCGCTCCCTTCTCGATTTCTCTCTGCTCCCTGCCACCATGCCCTGAGCAGCTGTCCTCTGCCGTGCCCATCCTTGGAACCAGCTGTCTATGGACTGAAACCTCTCCTTTAATTTGTGGGTACCGGGTACTGTGTCCCAGCAACAAGAACGTAGGAAGACTGTTGTCCAGGCTGGGTTGGAATTTGTGAGCCTCTCGCCTAAGCCTCCCAGAGTGCCAGCTACTGATTCTTTTCAAATGTCCATTTTGTAACCTTTGACACTTTATTTATCTTACAGTTCCCACCCACCATTAGGGGAGGGCTGATCCTGGAGAATTAATTTGCTAACAAATTAATTTGCTCCTCCTGGGCCCCATGCTTGAGTGGAGAGAGAGCCACAGGCGTGTGAGCAGGACACCTCCGCGTGGACTCAGTGGTAAGGCCCAGGTGGGACGCAGCAGCATCCCCCGGCCTGTTTGTTCCCACCACAAGCATGGCATTGTTCAACATGGAATAAGGTCAAGAGACAAATCCTACGCAGGAGCCCCAAGCCCTGAGAGCAGAGTGGCAAATGCCAGGACCTCGAGGCTCTGGCCTTCGCCTGTGTGCATCGAGCATCAGCAGACAGAGCTGGATCCACACCCCTGACTTGAAACCCAGAAGACACAACCTCATGGAGAGGGTCACGTCTTATAAAGCTGATGAGTTGATTTTAAGGAACAGTCTTTCTCCCAAGGCTGTGCCAGGTTTCCTTTTAATCGAGTCTGTCTCTCTTCTCTTCCACAAATATAAATGCAGCAGCTTCAGGGAACGCCACAGGAGATATTCGTTCCTCCGTAAAGCAGCTGTCATCAAGAGACACAATACCCAACCCCCACAAGTCAAAGGAGAGAGGTTTATCTTGGCGCGCAGTATGCAGAGATTTCAGTCGGTCATCAGCTGGCTCGAAGGCGGGCAGCATGGCCGGGGAGAGCTGCTCGTGGAGACAGGGAAGCAGAGAGGGATCAAGGAGGGAGGAGGGACCGACCCCGCACCCAGCCATAAACCTGTCAGTGGACTGGGCTGGAGATTTAGCTCAGTGGTTCTGTTGCTTGCCTTGAAAGCACAAGGACCTGAGTTTGATCCCAGTTAGCACACCCCCCAAAAAAAACCCAAAGCCCCACCCTTGAGCACGGGGGCTTTGGTTGCATCTGGACAAACCCTAACAGCATGTCACAGTCAGAAGAGCACTGCCTTTGGAACCAATCAGATCTACATTTGATAATAAGTCTGCTTTTGCGTCTTAAAGACTCCTTCCCAAGCTGAAGTCATGAAGATACAGCTGCATTTCAGTGCTCAAGGGGACTGGCTCCAAATGGTGTCAGATTCGTCATAACCCATGCATGCCCTCCTCTGTACTGTAAATGATCACTAGGTTGCTTCCCAACACAATTCAAATGCCATGTAAATAGTTGCTGCATTGCACCACTCAGGCAGAACGACCTGAAAAGGTTTGTACACATTCAGTGGAGCCACGGGATTTTCCTGCACATTTCCTATGCACGGCTGGCTGAGCTCACAGAGGTGGACGTGGTGGGCCACTGTGTACTGCAAGTTTCTTCTAAAAGCTCTCCAGTCTTTCCCCCTGGAGTATTAATCTGTCTACTGCTGGCTTTTGTGTGGGGAGCTGTCTGATTTCTTAACCTGATGTTAATTATATGGCTGTCTCCTTATTTATTAAAGTATGTATTTAGATTTTACTCAATTTCTATATGTAGCTATTATATTAGTCTGTTTCTCCCCCCACCCATCTCCCCTGACTCCCAAGCCCCAGCTTTCCCATGTATAAAATGGATCTATGCTGGCGTGGTGGTGCACACCTGTAATCCTAGCACTCGGGAGGCTGAGGCAGGAGGACTGCAGTGAGTTTGAGGCCAGCCTGGGCTACACAGTGAGTTCAAGGCTGGCCTGGAGTACATAGTGAGACCTTGTCTCAAATAACCAAAATAAAAATAAAATTCCTTTTTGAAAAGTACATTGTACCTAATACCTGTACTACAGACTCAGATGTGCCTCCTCCTACAGCCCCGGAAATGCCGCCACGGACAGAGCTTGCACAAGAGCAGACTGGCCGACTTCCTCCCCTCCCCTGCAACCTGAGTGGCATCACAGCCAGGGTGAGAGGAGCCGGAAGCATCCTTGTGTTGGTCACACAATCCTGGGCCTGCACAGGGAGGTCACCGCGGGTGTGGGGTGAATGACGCCGGCTGCGCTGGAGGGCTCCCCTCCCTCCCTCTGTCCTTGGGTCGCGGAGACTGAACCCCAGCTTTGACCCGCTGCTGAACACTGTCAAAGTGGGGGTGGAGTTTTGAAGAACTCGTCCCGGACCGCGGTCCCTGTACCAAAAGGCCACCGAGCTCCCGTCACACGTGTCCTCTGAGGACCCAGGAAGGAACAGCCAAAGTCGGTCCCTTAAAAGTAAACACTCAAACACTACGGTAAGATGTCATGAGTTATCATCAAACACCCCCACATCTTCTAGGCCCTTCAGATGTACGGCTTTGTCTGCCTTCACATGGCAATGAGTTTTATTTTCACCCCCACTGAATGCTGGGGTGTTCACCACCGCACAACTAGTAAACCAGGGACACGCTGACTAGGTCTGCACCAGGACGGCTATGGCTGGAAAGACGCACACACCCTTGCCTGCTCATCTGCCCGCCTTGGCCTTCTGCAGCCCGCGATGCCCAGGACCCGAGCCCAGGGCCACAGGTTAATCTGTCACAGTGAGCGTGAGTGGGAGACAACTGAGGAGGAGGAGCGTGGGCCTCACACCCCGGCGGTGGCGCCAGCATTCTACACCTGAAGGAAATAAAATCACCCGCTGGACACAAAACCAGCCTCCTGCTGAGCCGTGGAGGAGTAGCTGCCTCTGGACATAGAGCCTGCCTGAGGCCTCCGGACTGTCTCTGCAGGCGCTGGGATGGGAGCAGGGGCCAGAAATTTGAAGCCTGGATGGACTCAGGGGCACTGGGGACAGAGGGGGGTGGGCAGGGGAAGCGCACTTCGCGCACCTGGGGCAGAAGGAATCAGGAAGGTGAGGGAGAGCTCTGCACCCCCAGGCCCTGTTGGTGGTTCTGTCCTAGGCTAGTCTGGCTGTAGAGGCAGTGAGGACAGCCCCTCTCCTCCATAGTACTTGCCAGTTGCTCCAGAGCTCCGGCCACCCTTCCCTGTCCTGTGTGCACTGAATCACAACCCCAGGCCTCCATCCCAGCCACGGAGCAGGGCCGCGTCTGCGGTGAACGGCAGGGCTAGCACCCGTCCCTCTCAAGCACAACCGAGGCTCCTGCGTGCTGTGGGGTACAAAGGCCCACACTCAGGTCACCCCAGAAGCCCGGTGGCCCGGAGAGTAACAGAGGCTGGGACCCCGACAGCATCACTGCAGGGGCACAGCTGGCGGGGGCTGGGAAAGGTGCTGGGCGGGGCGCCAAGCCTCCTGCCCTCCGCGCCTGGGCCGGGGACACCCTGGCCACCTGCGGCACCAGCAGCTGCCATCCCTTCGCTGTCTCCATTCCTACAGTGCCCAGGACATCCACTAACTCCACCAAAGACAAAAGCCTAAGCCGCGGAGTCTGGCTCCTGACCCACGCTCTCGGGCATCAGAACTACAGGAGCTGCAGGGACTGAGCTCAGCACTCTGGGACTGACTCAGTCTGCCGCCCAGGAACCCCAGTTCGTCTGATGCCGCTGGTCGACACATTTTCTCTTCTTTTGTAGCACTGAGAACTTAGTCCAGGGAGCCAAGATAGTGTCTCACTCAGTTGCCCAGGCCGTCCCTGAACTTGAAGTTGTCCCGCCTCAGCCTCCTGAGTAGTCCTCCGGCCCTACGGCACATCAGCCAGGGTGGGGAGCCCGTGCACATATGCCACCGCCCGCTGTTATGGTGAAACCTCTCAAAGGTTCACCCCCATCACACTCCTGCACACTGTCTCGACACAGCAGACACCCAAGGAAAAGGAGTGAGAGGAGCAGAGGGGAGAGAAGAGGGGCCGAGCCTAACCTAAGCCAACCCTAACAGCAGCAGGAGACACAGGGCTCAGGGACAGCGACAAGGGAGAGGAGGCTTGGCCCTGTGAGTAAAGCCCTGCAGGACATATCTGCCCACGGCAGGGGGTGGGAGTGAGCAACGCCGGCCGGTGGGGCTTCGAGGCAGGGCCAGCGCCAGCTCTGGGGGCAGAGGCGGTGGCTGGCCAGCAGGGAAGGCCCTGCCCAGAGCCTTCTTCCGGCCCTGCCAGCTGTTCTGAGCTCAGTTTTAACAGCCACAGCCAGAGCCTCCACTCACTCTCGCAGAATGCAGAGTCCTGCCTGCAGCGGCAGTGGGCCGAAGGACAATGCGGTCCCAAGGCTGTGGACACAGCCAGGCGGGCAAGGCTTGGAGGCCAGGTCCATCCTCCTGCGTGGGCAGAAGGGAACCTGGGCCTGGGACAACAGCTGAGGACGCAGGAGGCCGGGCCGTGTCCCAGCTACTCAGCCACGGCCATCGGTAACCGTGAGACATGGGGACACTGCCTGCCCCCCACATATCTGCACTGAAGAAATACCGAGCTCCCAGGAGCGCACAATCTTTCATCCAGACACACTCGTGTCCTGACAGCCCTCGGAGCCTGCTCACTGCCGAGGCAGAATGACATCCTCACTGACAGGGGCCAGGCCTCAGCTCCTCCTGCTTCTCCTCCGTCTCCACCACAGCCTAAATCGCGTCAAACTCAAGGGACACAGATGAGCAGGGACTGGGGTTGGACCTAACCTGGGTTTCGTCTCCCAGCCAAACAGATGTAGAGGAAACTGAGGTCAGCCCAGGGCAGCCTTGAAACAACGTGAGCAAGGTTACCAGCAGGGGCACTGATGCACGTGAGACATGTTATTCAAAATCCAA